GTGGCGTCTTGCTGCAGGTACATCGAAGACGAAGCTGGAGCTATGGCGCCACAGGTGAGTATCCCTGGCCTCCGCCAACCATCTCTCTCTCTCTCTCCTACTAGCGCCCAGCGCTGAAGACTACTGCTATCGCTACTACTCCTCCAGAGTGCCGCTGCCGAGTCCTGAAGACTACCTCCTGCCTCCTGCACGTGAAGTGCCTAGGAACTGCCTGCAGCCTACAGGGCGGGTCAGCATTATATAGTGCTGGCCCGTCCGAGAGGCTGCTCGTGCCTATGCCAAAACATGCCAGACCCTAGGGTTGATGCTTCACAAAATAGACCATCATGGCCTGAGCTAAAAACCCCGGTCTGGTGTCTGGGTTTCAGGGTAGGTCGATCTTGCGAGGGCCTGAAAATGGCCCGTCGTTTTCAGGCTGGAAGCCGGAACGACACAGGGCCTGAAACAGACCCTACCCCTACGGACCCTTAGTCTGCCAGGTCGGGCTCTGCTGGGCCCGTGTGGTACGGAGTATGCCACACTGTGACACTGAGGATTGCAGCATGGAAAACACTATCTGTAGATGTAGATGTGCTGGGTACTCGAGGCTGAGCAGAAGAGGACAAAAGTTGGCATTTAAGAGGCCCAGTAGTTGTAGGGCAGGTCTAGGCGGGTTACCAGTCCAACCAGTCTGAGTCTAGGGCCTGTACAGGCAATATCAGAGTCTGCAATGATGTTTCCCTCCGAATGGGTTTCCCTCGAACAAGACATCTCACGCAAGCTCCTTCCCAAGTGGTTTGGACCTTGGACAGTAACATCAGCCGCGGGAGATGAACCCGATGGCCCCTCATTTGTGATCAACATCCCTTCGCATCTGACGGTCCATCCAGTTTTTCACGTCTCGAAGCTGGCGACATATACACCGGCTAAGAGCGACGATATCCCGGGCAGCCGATGGATGGTCATCAGGAAGTCGACCGCATCATCACAGATCACAAGTACGACAACAAGCCTCGACAGTAAGGTTACCTCCAAGGCATGCAATCCTGACGACACTCGATAGATTTCACGAGCAGATTTGCAAACATGCGCACCTCTGCTCTACGCTCCCTACGAACGACAGAGACTAGCTAAAGAAGCTTTCACAACCTGCCCTTCCCACCCGGACTTTGGTCGCTCCGTCCGACAGGCAGCTTCGCCCTCGCAGGTAAGCTCGGCCTTTCAAGGAGGGGGGATGTGGCATACTGCGCATCCACACGGGTCTGCAGGGCCTGACCAGACAGAAAATAAGGGCCCTCCAGGCCCTGTGTCGTTTCAGCCTAAAAGCCTGAAAAGGAGGGCCATTTTCAGGCCCTCATAAAGTCGACCTACCCTGAAACTTAGGCGCCAGACCAGGGTTTAGCACAGGCCATTTTTGGGCCTGTTTCAAGACAACCTTTGTTTGAAATTCAACGCCAAGGTCTGGCACGATTTGGCATGGGCAAGAGCAGCCTCCCAAGCCGGACCAGCACTATATAGTACTGGTCCGCCCTGCAGGCTGCAGGCAGTTCACGGGGAGTTCACAGGCACTTCACGTGCAGTTCAGGAGGCAGTCTTCAGGATTCGGCCGCAGCACTCTGCAGGAGCGCTGCAGTAGTAGTAGCTAGCGCTAGGAGTAGTCTTCAGCGCTGGGCGCTATCAGGAGTTTAGAGTTGCGTTGGGAGAGAGAGAGAGGCCGGAGGCCAGGGAGACTTACCTGTGGCGCCATAGCTCCAGCTTCGTCTTCGATGTACCTGCAACAAGGCGCCATCTTCACAGGTCAGTACTTTGCACCAAAGAGAGAGAGTTCTTCTTCCTCCTCTAAGTCCATCTCTCCCTCACCCTCTCGCTACCTGACTTCTCGGTATCTGCAGACTACGAGAGAGAGAGAGAGAGAGAGAGAGAGAGAGAGAGAGAGAGAGAGAGAGAGAGAGAGAGAGAGAGAGAGAGATTTGAGACTTGAGATTTGACGACATTTGGATTCAGACTCAACCTTGGGATCGAGATATTGGACGAGGGATTATTTGGGACCTGTACCGAAGACTTGGTGTTGATGACATTCCCATCTTCCCCCTCTTCTTTGTCTGATCCCCCTCCTCCTCGTCTGTGTATGGTTGCGGACTGGCGCATTCTTCCTGTGTGAGCGCCAGGCCCCTTCACACCATGTGATGATGATGATGTATGTTTGATCTGCATGGCGACATTGATTGGTCTGATCATTGGTATTTTAGCCTTCCGCTGCGCTATCCTGTACTATGTTAGAGAGGTCGGTTCTTGTTCTGGTCTGCACCGTTATGGTATGCAACAGTTTGGTATCGGAGCGGACCTCTCAATCAGAGGATCCACCAAATCAAGGAGCCAGCTTGCTTGATCGACTGATTGTTGATTGCTTGCTTGCTTGCTTGATTGATTGTTTACTGGTGAATCAAGTAGGGCGTCGTCAAATCTCTGCAAATTTTCTTTTTCTTTTTCGCAATTTCGGAGATTAGCATTTTAGGTGAATTAGGGAGGTTGTCATATTCTCGGACTCAATCTATTCTTCTCTGAAAGTGGAACCTTCATTCTATTTCGCGCAAAAAAAAAATTCAAGACGGCATTTTTTTTGAAAGCCTAAACTTTGCGAAATCTTGCCTAGATCTCGTTCATAGCACTCCTCCGTAATGCCTCACTCATAGCAGATTGACAGATACACAAAAAAAAAATAGAAAAAATAGGGGGGGTGACCCTCTTCTTTTATTTTTTTTATTTTATTTTTATTCGGTTGATTAGGACCGGGAATGGAAAGTGCAGTTTCGTTACCTTCCTGCGTTTCCCTCCCACCCAGCCCTTTGTCTGCATTCCCGGTTTGGTTAGGGCCACGTCAGCAGCAGTGCCATGACAGCAGCAGTGCCACATCAGCAGTGCCAACAGTGCCACGACAGCAGCAGTGCCACATCAGCAGTTACACATCTGCAACAGTGCCACATCAGCAGTACCCGCCACCATGATGACTTCAGTTTTGGGCATGCCAGGCCAACTGGCCAATGAGTCCATAGCTGAGTACCGACAGCGGTTCCAAGCTCAGCTCATGCTGATCGAGGCTGAGGAACAGCGCCAAGCGGCAGCCGAGGCTGCCCGCCTACAGGCTGAAGCGGAAGCAGCAGCTGAAAAGCAGCGGCTTCAGGCCGCAGCTGACGCAGATGCCCAGGTCCGCCGCAAGGAGGCCCAGGATCTGCTGCAGCGGCACGAAACCGCCAACGTCGACAGGGTCCAGTTCTGGCATTTTGAACCATCCGAGGACAATGACGACGCGACACCAGAAGAGCAGCACAAGGAGTTTCTCTCCAAACTCGTGACCCGGTTGGTTTAAACTTGTAACCACCTGCAGTCCGAGTTGGCGAATCTCCGACGCACAGTGCGGAACCACAAGGATCTGCACTAGGATGCTACACGGGTACTCCATTCCTGTGTACAGAACTTGGAGAAAGCAGCACCAGGACCAGATGCTGGCGAACCCAGCAGTGCAGCCTCAACCCGCCAGTTGGAGCAACGAGTTGCCCATGTCGTCGCAATGCTTGGCGACATCAGCACCTTCGCCGCACCAGCCACCATCAGTGAGCAGCTCGACACCTTGAAGACCGAGGTCCGGCAACTACACCAGCCGCCCGACAACGATGGCAGCACCAGTGCACTGTGGCCATACAAGATGCCGACTTTCCGGATCGAGAAGTTTGACGACTATATGCATCAGGACCCAGTCGTCTGGTGGCAAGGCTTTACAACGGAGATTGGGATTCATGAGGTCCCCAATCACTTGTACATTTTAGCGTTGTTCCAACGACAAGGGCGGATGCCAGATCTGGCTCAGCCACATGGCAACCATCCACAACCAACGTCGACAGGGTCCAGTTCTGGCATTTTGAACCATCCAAGGACCATGACGACGCGACACCGAAAGAGCAGCACAAGGAGTTTCTCTCCAAACTCGTGACCTGGTTGGTTTAAACTTGTAACCATCTGCAGTCCGAGTTGGCGAATCTCCGACGCACAGTGCGGAACCACAAGGATCTGCATGAGGATGCTACACGGGCACTCCATTCCCGTGTACAGGACTTGGAGCAAGCAACACCAGGACCAGATGCTGGCGAACCCAACAGTGCAGCCTCAACCCGCCAGTTGGAGCAAGGAGTTGCCCATGTCGTCGCAATGCTCGACGACATCACCACCTTCGCCGCACCAGCCACCATCAGCGAGCAGCTCGACACCTTGAAGACCGAGGTCCAACAACTACACCTACACACGGCTGGCTCACGGAATGGCAAAAGATCGTGGCAACACCCGATCTTGACTTGCCATTTTCGCATCTGCGTGCAACGACGGGCCATTGCTGTACATACGCATTCAGATCGGAGAGGCGACCTGCAGCGCTTTGATCGATTGTGGAGCTACTCGCAACTATATGAGCCAAGACTTTATGGTACACGCTGGCCTTGGGTCACAGCCCACGGAAGTCACGTTGGCGGACGGTCACACACACAAGTCGATCGACCCGTGCATTGATTCCGTCCCTGTGTACTTCGACCCGCATGCAAGCGAGGTCGTGTCCTTCGACATTTTGGACACCCACTTCGACATGATTTTGGGCATGTCATGACTGCGAAGCGAGGATCACCCGGTGAACTTCTACCGCCACACCGTTCACGTTCGTGATCGGAATGGAGTACTAATCCCATGCACAGTGCCTCCACCTCACCCTTCGATCAGTTGTCACGTGGTGTCCGCCACAAGCATTCGAGCTTCCATCACCAGGGACGACATCTAGTCTTCACTTGGGAGTGTATCGCCACTTTTGTCTTTGCTTACTCTAGTGTTCATTTTCTCTCTCCATTGTGATCCGGTACCTTGTGTTCTGAGTTTCCTAGCTTCACTCTCCCTTCATCTGTTGCGTTAATCTTCAGTTGGGAGTGAATCGTCACTTTTATCCCTTCTTGTTCTAGTGTTCTAACCATAATCTAAACTTGCATTATCCATTTTCACTCTCCATTGTAATCCGGCACCTTGTGTTTTTATTTCCTAGCTTGAGAGGGAGTTTCACTCACTCTCCCTTCATCTTTTGTTTGAATCTGCACTTGGAAATGAATCGCAACTTTTGTCCTTGCTTGTTTTGCTGTTGTATTCCTCATATACTCATGCATTGTCCATTTTCTGCTTCCATGGTGATCTGACACTTCGTGTTCGGTGCCCCGTAGCTTGAGGGTGAGTTTCACTCACTCTTCCTTCGTCCTTTGCTCAAACCTCCACTTGGGAGTGATCCGCCACTTTTGTTCTTGCTCTTCTTAGGTGTTGATATCATCACCCTGCTTTGTCCATTTTCCCTCTGCAAAGTATTTCACCACTTTATTGTTTGTGTTTGTTTGGGAGTGAGCTTCACTCAACCCCCCCCTCTATACCTTGTCGAATTTTCACTTGGATGTAAAGTGCAACCTCAATCCTTGTCCATTTTGTTGAACATAGTAGACATTGCATATCTGTGGCAGCTCACCTCCCCATGCGCTCTATTCGAATGACACACTAATCCCCCCGTGCTTTGTTTGAACACCGCTTCACCCCCCCCCCCTGTGCTCTATTTGAACATGATACGAGGGGAGTAGATAGGGGACTGTGGCCGCTGCTGCTGCTGCTGCTACTGATTTGAGGCTACTCTTGTTGCTACTTATGCCTGGCCAAAGCCTTGCTGTTGCTGCTGCGGAGAAAACCGCTGTCAAGCCCCCCGGGCAGAGGCAGGTTTGGATTGGCCAACGGGCCGTGGCCAAGTGGTGCCAAAAACTAACTTCGCCAAACAAGGGATATCGGGACTGGGACTGAACAGGCCCCATATCCTAGGCATATATAGATGGTCGGCAAAACCGCCAGGCCATCTGAGTCCATTTTCCTGCAAAAACGAAAAATGGACTTCCCCGAACTGTTCACTTAGAGCCTCGGGCGGTGCCCGAAACGGGCAAGTAGGGGCAAACGGCGACGGAATCCGGTTAAATTTTTGGGAGGTCTTCAGTAGGGCATAGACAGAGGGCCTATGAAGTTACGTGGACATCTGACATCGTTTGGGCCACCAAATGCAAATCTGTGTTTTTCGGCTCTCCCTCCTCAAGTAAAATTGGCAAAAACTGGAAAACCGCAAATCTGAGTTTTCGCAGTCTGAGTTTTTTTCTTGCAAGTCTGGGTTTTGCAAAGTCTGAATGTCTGTTGCAAGTCTGCATGTCGCAAATCTGAGTTTTCTAATGTCGAAAATCCGAGTTTTCTAATGGTTCACACGTTGAGACCACACAAGTAGGTAGGGACTAGAGGCTTAGAGTCCACCATAGCCAAGCACCTCCACACCTTTTTCCACCTCCACCTCCTTCACCCATCCACCATAGCCAAGTACCTTCACACCTTCTTCCACCTCCACCTCCTTCACCCATGCACCATAGCCAAGCACCTTCATGTCTTCTTCTTCCTCCACCCTCTTCACCTATCCACCATAGCCAAGCGCCTTCACACCTTCTTCCACCTCCACATCCTTCACCCGTCCACCATAACCAAGTACCTCCACACCTTCTTCCACCTCCACCTCCTTCAATCATCCACCATAGCCAAGTACCTTTACACCTTCTTCCACCTCCACCTCTTTCACCCATCGACCACAGCCAAGCACCTTCACACCTTCTTCCACCTCCACCTCCTTCACCCATCCACCACAGCCAAGCACCTTCACACCTTCTTCCACCTCCACCTCCTTCACCCATCCACCATAGCGAAGTACCTTCACACCTTCTTCCACCTCCACCTCCTTCACCCATCCACCATAGCCAAGCACCTTCACATCTTCTTCCACCTCCACCTCCTTCACCCATCCACCATAGCCAAGTACCTCTGCACCTTCTTCCACCTTCCACCTCCTTCACCCATCCACCATAGCCAAGTACCTTAACACCTTCTTCCTCCCCCACCTCCTTCACCTGCCCACCGTAGCCAAATACCTTCACACCTTCTTCCACCTCCGCCTTCTTCACCCATCCACCATAGCCAAGCACCTTCACACCATCTTCCACCCCTACCTCCCTCACCCATCCACCATAGCCAAGTACCTTGACACCTTCTTCCACCTTCCACCTCCTTCACCCATCCGCCATAGCCAAGCACCTTCACACCTTCTTCCATCTTCACCTCCTTCACCCATCCACCATAGCTAAGTGCCTTCCATCCACCATAGCCAAGTACCTTCGCACCCTCACCCTCCTCCACCTTCACCAACCAAAGTCGTGGTCCAAGGCGTATAGGGCAGTAGGTCATTAGAGGAGTCATAGGTAGGATGAGTAGGGGGTAGGTTGGATTAGGCTTAGGGGAGGGACTCTCTCTCTCTCTCTCTCTCTCTCTCTCTCTCTCTCTCTCTCTCTCTCTCTCTCTCTCTCTCTCTCCCCCCCCCCTTCCCTTTCTTGACCGCCAACCTCTCCCATCCTCCTCTTCCAAAACCCCAAAGGCAACCTTTACCCCCACTCCCCTTTCCTCTTGGGATGCAACTAACCCTTCCCCCAGTCACTTGTTACATTGTTAAGGTACGGACGGGGAAAGAACTCTGAATCTCACTTGGTGGAAGAAGAGGGCAAGGGGAGGGTTGTCGGCCCCTTCTGCCACCAAGAAGATAAGAAAGAGGAGAGCTCGACAGGCTTGACGATTCACAAAAGTCCGAGAAGGGCTAGAAAGAGTTGCCAAGAAAAAGAGAGGTCAGTTCACTCAACCACAACCCCGACTGCATGGCTAAGAGAAGAGGATGGTTTGGATAAAGGAAGGAAACAAGAAGAGAAAGAACCTAAGGAAACTGAGACTAGGCATGTGGGAGGGGCTACGTGTTGACCCCAAATGGGGTTGTATCTGTTTTGCATTGTGATTGAGTGTGCAAGTAAGTAACCTTTGAGGATGCCTTGGACTGGACTGGCCCGGATAGCCCGGGCGACAAAAGGGAAGATGGGACATAAGGTTTTTTGTTTGTTTGTTTGTTTGTTGTTGTTGTTGTTGTCGTTTTTTATTTTATTTTTTTATTTTTATTTTTTTATTTTTTTTTTTATACCCCAATCTATTCATGGGGAGCAACACGGCTGGGAACCGGGCCAAGGGTCCCTTAATCAAAATACAAAGATGACCTACCGGGGCCATTTCCCGGCTTCGGCTAAGAACAATTAAAGAAAAAGGAAAACTCAAAAACATTCATAAAATGTGTGTCAACAAGCCTCCCAACCACGAATCAGATAGGTGAAACCTAATCAATCCACCTTCGACCACCACCAGCATGGGTGTTTTCACCACGAACCGAAGCTCTTCCAGGCCTCATGCTCCCATCAGGCTAGGTTAGATGGGACATAAGCTAAGCCGGTTGTGAACGTAATCCCTGCCTATGGATGAGAGTTTTTTTGCATGCGGCTCAAGTATAAATGAAAAGAAAGACATGGTCTGCTCAGTTGAAATCAGCAAAGGTGTCGAACGGTCAAGAGTGCCGCCAAGTCCTACGAGTATACGGGAGAGAACCCCGAAAAGACTAAGGGGTGCACAGAGACACAGCCAAACATGGTGCATGATGTGTGGGGCAAAGAGGGTTAATGCGTAGACCAGCCAAGAGGAAAAGGGTGACCCCTACCTCGATGAAGCTATAGTACCTTTGCGTTAGCGAGTGGGTGCACAGCCCACTTGGCCTGTGCACGAAAAAAGAAGAGAAGTCTCTCAAAGAACTCCCTGGACTGCCTGTGTATTGGAAGGAGCAATTGAATGAGAACACTGCAAAAGTATCGAGAAAAGGACGCTTGCGAGTGAACAATGAAACTGCCTCTCCAACGAGAAAGTTGAGCCACATCCCCAATGTCGAAGCTCTCTCGCTCAATGGCCCATCCCCATCCATCTCAAAGCACTAGGTGGGGGTGACCCTGTGACGAACCGTACCTTGAGCACGAGTGTGGGCAGAACCGAGCCAGCTTGGACCCTCAGATGGGTCGACTCAGGCTCGAAAGTCTGACAGGGTGAGGCCCTACACCGGTAATGCGTCATGCGAAACAGCGTGCACTGCCCCGATACCACGTGCGGTAGGCCCGGTAACACGCGATGGTACTGCTGCTAGCATGTTGGCCCCATACCGCGCATGACATCGGCACTGACGCGCAGGACAGGTAACTGGCCCTGGCCCGGTGCCGCGGTGGTTCAACTTCTGAGGAAAAAAACAATCATCGGACAATCGGGACCGTGATGGTGCAAAAAAACGGAGGGCCCCAATTGTCTGCTTGTCACGGGCAAGTGATTAGTGATAGATATATATGCAGTGATTATATTGGAATATAGTCAGGCAGGTAGGAGGAGGTAATGACAGCTGACACAGAGCTGCATGAGGTCTGTAAGCTAAGCTGGATGCTTTCAGATACCTGTCTGCACCGGGAGTACTGTAGAGGACCGTGCCCTCTAATTTCATCAAGGAATTTGAATTTTGAGGGGGGAGGGGGAGGGACCATGACATAATGAACATGTCCAAAGCACACAGATTCCCATAAGCACAACAAGAATCACAAAGGCACATACAGTTTCAAAGCATTTGTTATGGTGTGATACATGGCATGTCCTCAGCCAAACAGATGTGCAAAGTCCTGGCAAAGAGCTTACAATGCTGCATACTGAACTATCTCAAAGCTAAGATAAGTCCATGCACAGAACTTACAACAGTACAGACTAAGCGGTCTGCACAATACAGATGGGCGACCACATAAACAGGAATACCCATTGCAGAACACTGACGTGGGCATAACATGCATACGACAAGCAGACCAGACGAAAAGAAGCTGCACATTGTTGTGGATAAGAAAGACCGTGCCTTCACTGGACGGTCATCCCTTGGAACCACATACAATGCGGATATCTTTTCCCACTCGTTTCTGTCCTGCAAGGTTGAGGGAGCTGGATGACAAAGGTATGTGCTTCAGCAAACACCCCTTGCTTGCATTGTTTTTATTTTCCAGTGTGTTTGTGATGATGTATGTGAGTTCAGATTCCTGCATAATGCGTAACACCCAATGGGCCTCGCTGCATTACTCTCGAAATGTGCAAAACGAGAGTGAATCTTCCGCTAGAATATGGAAAGATACACGGCCATGATTTTTGTCTTTTGTGCATGTCGAGAGTAGTGCAGCGAGGCCCAATATTTCTGCAAGTCAAGGAGGACAAAATATTCTCATATGAAGCACACCTCATAAGTTCTTACATGTGTATCGGCAGAAAGTAGAGAAAAACACAAAAAAAGGGCATACCCATTAGCAACAGACTTTTTCGTCATACTCTCACTGAACTCGTTTGGGCGCCGAACCCTCAACTCCCTAAAGAATCTCCCTTACGATGCTCCGAGTCATAATTTGCTTTGAACCACCCGTACTTTTCACGGGAAAAGTTGGGAATTGAAATGTAGCAATCTGCATTTTTCGGATGACGGTGCTACCGGACCAAAACAGCTCATGGCGCTAGTGAAACGGTATTCACCAGTTCGAAGTAGCTGATGCAGGACCCAGGGTTCGATCCCTAGTTCCCCAACTTACCTGTGAACAATATCTGTGACAACTTGAAGAATTGAACCTGCGACCTGTAGGACCGCCAGTGGTAAGTAGGTCTGTCGTAGGTCTTTAGGTAGCCAGGATTTGATCCATAGACCTGTAGAGTAGAAGTCCAGCTGCAGTCCTTCTAGCAGATTGGCAAGTGGTCAAGTGGAGTGACTAAAGCAAGCCCATGTTGGAGACGAGGACAAGTGGCAAGGGCAAATAGTAGGACCCCAGTGCAACTGCACTGCGTCGTAGGGTTGTCACTATGCAGTCATGGGAAAGTCTAGAAAGTACCAGTCCGGTCCAGCAAGTACCACGGGGGGGGACTGTGTGCATCATGGGCCAGGGATACAAGGCAGACCAATGCAANGTGTGCATCATGGGCCAGGGATACAAGGCAGACCAATGCAACACAGAAGTATAAATCAAGAGGCTGCGTCCAGCCATTCATTCATTCCTGCGGAAGCTCTGCGGAAGCGCTGCTCGGGCGTCTTGTGCAAGGGAGGTCTGCAGATGGCCTGAAGACGAAGTGGGCAGAAGTTAGTGATAGGCTAGTTAGCTGTTAGTGGCCATGCGCCATAGCCATAGACAGTTAGTGAGTGTGTATGTGTGTGTGCAGTGGTGGGCGTGCATGGTATCCAGGGTGATYCGGAGTCGAGTTGCGTGTGAACTTTGAGTCGAACGTGTAAGTGTGTGCGCCCAGCGCCATAGCCAACTGAAGTAAACTTGGATTTGAGTTGAGTTGCAAGCTACCATATCTCCGAGTTTGAGTTGGGTGCACAGCGCCAAGTTATTCTCATCTGTTGCATGCATGTTTGGGTGTGAATTTGCAAGACTGATTTCACTAGCCAAAAGAAAAACAAAACAATGCCGTGGCAGGGGGAATCTGCCGTGGCAAAAAGAGGCTTGGAGGCAGTGGTGGTTTGCACGTGTGCAGGAAATAGGACGCAGGGAACAAGGCAAGCAGCAGGTGGATGCGCAGGTGACATGACATGCAGCAAGGCAACACCGCAGCACTTGTCTTGGGGGTTAAGTGGGTAGGTGGCCGAATAGCAAGGCCCGCACCCTGGCAACAAATCTAGCACCAGCACAAAATGGGTGGGAGGGGAGGAAGCAAAGCAAGCAGCAAAGCAACAAAACAAGACACAGTCACAGCAACCCCAACATGCAGCAACGACCAGAGCAGGTTCTCATCTACTCGCACCTGATGGCACAAACCTCTCAAGGCCCCGGGGAGCCACAAGGTGAATGTCTGTCAGCAACAGGAAACAGAGGCTTCACAAACACACGAGTCTCCTCATAGTGCGAAATGCACTTCCATCAAGTACTGCCAGACTGTTTGGCACCCCTCGAAGCTGGGTCGTGAACCTCATTGAACATAAGTAAAGACACACAGTAGATAGTGGGTTGCTTTTAAAATTTTGGACCATTTCTCAATTTACGGGTGACCCGAAGGACAAACAGCAGGTTGCTATGGACCATTTTTGTGCCGGGACCGTTCTAACCTTCCCTGTATCGCTCCCGTTTTTTCTTTTTTTTTTTTTTTTTTTTGGAAAGTATCACTCCCATTTTAACAGATGTCTCAAAAGGACAAACAGTGGGTTGCTATGGCGAACACGAAGGGAAACAGAGAGCCAATGTACCTCTTTGTGCATCTCCAGTGGATAACTCTTTCCTCAGTAAGTTTTTCGTTTACGAATAGACGGGGCGAAACATGTTGAACATGCACACAATGTATCACTGATTCAGCATGCATAAAGTGGAATGCTTTTCAAATGAACAACAATGTGAAAAATTTCCAAACAGAGATTTCACATGCGAAACAGCTTAACAAAGATTTAAATGTCAGAAAGGCAGCTTCTACCTGTCCTGGTCACCTAGAAGATGACACAAGTCCTCAAAAAGATGGTGGTCGACATTCAGAGTTGTCCTGCATATGCTCAACATTTCCCTCAAACATCCCTGCAAATCGACGAAAGCCATAGAAAAACAGAGAGAGTTCACCAGTCAAAAGCATCTCTAGCTGCTGTCAAGAGCAACGACAGAGCAGCAAAGCCGGCCCTACAGAGACATGTCAACAGAGGCTGAAAAGTTCCCGACATGGGCCAACAGTGACAACGAGTGAGATGAGAAAGTGCATGGTTGAAAGCAGCCACCTGGATTAAAAATGGAACAGGATAACTAACGAAAAACCATGATGCTCAAAACGGTTGGCAGGTCAGACCAAGAACACTCAAAAGAAAGCTGGGGATATTCAAAACACAATTTAATACATGCATGGTCATGAGACAGGGTTTAAGAAACCAACAGACTTGCCAGCGTTAAAACGCTCAAATACATGAAGAGCCCCATCTAGAACCAGAAGGACACTGCAGCCCAGCTTGAACGCCAAAACAAACTGCTGACCAAGCCTGTGTTATGAATTTGGTTGTCTGTCGATTTCAATCAACACTCGCCACTCAGGGTCATCCCATACATGCCCATACATGCATAAGAAGAAGGGGAGAGGAGACATAGCACACACTGCACACAGACAGAGTAGGCAGCAGAAAACAATCATGCACAGGTGTGGAGACAACACTGGGTGTTCCTCACTCTCTGACGATACTCCCAACAACCAATCATAAGAAGACACTGCGAGGATAACAAAAGAACGTAACCAAGTCTGAGCCACAGGTG